AAATAAGTAGTTTGGTTTTTCTAATTAACCTCATGTTAGGTAAACCGGGTCGAGTCAGCCTGAGAATGTACCGTGTAAAAGTTCACATGTAGCATCCCGTACGCTCATCACGGATGAACTCTCGCATGTTTAATGATAATCCTGATTGATTGTGATTTGATTTCGTTTATCTGGACAAATGAGGTTTTGAGTCATTTGAAAAAATACAGTATGTACATCTTATGTGTAATACCGCGAACATTTTAATTATGTTTCTGTGTATGTTTAATTACAACAGTTTCACGGCACACGGAGGAGAGGCAGCGTTGTGGAAATAAAATCTTCCGTTTCGAGATTGCAAGTAGACAATCCGTTCCAAGGCGTTGGATACCTTTTTACCCTACAGGTGCAGCTACCAATCCATATGCGACGCGAATAATTTATACTTAAACTATGAGCACGCGGAAGAGCAACAGACCTCCGGCCAAGGCAGCTGTGAATTCTCGTCAATGTGAAATTTTTTATTAATTTAAATAAATCCAATTTAAGTGGAAAAAATTAATTAATTAATTAAATAATGTAATTGGATCCGGATTTAGTGCGAGCGTTGCAAGGTGGGGGAGGACTGTGGTTGCCCCTTAGCCCTGTGTTTGCGTGTTTCGTTAAAGTCTGACTAAACAGCAGCACACCCAGCGCACCGTACGGAACGTGAACTGCATAACGTGCATGGTAACAACCACACACACACACAACACAACCTCAAGAGACACGCGGGCCGGTGAAAAACGGATAACCCCGCCACGCCCGCTGGCGCGAGTATAATTGATATGCCATCAAAACATATTATATGTTAGTAAAAATAGAATGTAGCTACAAGCAAGGTAGTAAGACAGACCGAAGGCCAAGAAGGGGCCAAATGCGCACGTTATACTAATATTCAGCGCCATTAGCACGGTGGGCGGGCGGAGAGGAGATGGCCGGGGTCGGTGCAACCCGATACTGCCATCGGAAATTTACAAATGCCATCAATCATACGAAATCCGACCACCGGAGGGCCAAAATCACCTGCCGTTGCGTGAGGTGTAACCAATACATTACAAACAGTTAATTCACATGTAGGCGCGATCTTATGAGTACGAGAGTGCACACAGACACAGCCTTTGTAATGCTCGAATTCGCCTTATCATATTGTGTCCTAATCGCCGGCCCGGCGTAGTGTGTGTTGTGTGTGTGTGGTGGGTGGTGGTGTTGTGTGTGTGTGGTGTGTGTGTGTGGGGTGTGTGTGTGCGTGTTGTGTGTGTGTGTGTGTGTGCGCTCGGTCGTATAGTTGTAACGTGTCCAGGTTCTGCTACCGGGCGCGGTACCCTTGTGAGGTACCGGCTAGGTAATACTCACAGGGCGTAAGTAGACAGACACGGAAGTATGACGTACAAACAAATGTCTGATTTAATATATTACATCAACAATTGAAACAGAGACAAGTCTATTAGTTAACGCATACTGGAATGCAAGATCTCTAAATAGATTTCAACACCACAAGCAACGACATATCATTTACTGAGTCTAAAAAGCGAGTTTACATAAGACATGAGTTTGATGCGATCAACACTGTAACACGAATACGTAAGAGCTAAAAGTATAAACAACAGCCGGTATACGAGACATTCAAAGCGTTGACCCAACGCTTACACAACTACATACTTCACAGAATCGAGATCCACGCTGATGATTCTCCCTTTTGTTCAAAGTGGCTGTATTTATCGAGTTGGATTGTCCACGTGACTTAGTAGTCTATACGGAGTTTTTAGTGTAGGTTAATGATGTCTAGAAGGACCACCCAAGTGGGTCATTCTGACCACTGTCGTGATTTCTCACAAGAGGGGCCTTCTTTGTTCTATGCAGTTCTAGTCCCTCGCTTGGACTAATGATCATCGTTAATTCATGTTCTTTACGACTCCCAGCTCAGGCGACGGAACGGTCTTCAGTTAAAGAAAGGGTTTGCTTATCTACAGCAATTAGGCCTTGAAGTAGACGTTGGCCCTTGAAGACCCGTGATCTGCACACTGGTGGCATATTGTAAGTCGTAATGTAAAATATCGTAATGATGACCTTTTCGCGTTCATTAACCAGCACCATCTTTGCTAGATATAGGCCTACATCTGCTGGGAGGAACAAAGGAAAGATGAAGACATGCGAGCGGCTGCGCAATACGCACAGGAGCAGATTAACATGGGGGGAAAGCTGCCGCATGGCTGCCGCTGCAACACTGACACATTAAAATATATATAAAATATATAATTAATACTAATAAATATCATAATTAAATATAGATAAATATAAACATAAATATAATAATAAAACTATATATTATGTGTCAGTGTGCAGCGCAGCCATAGAGAGAGAGAGAGAGAAAGAGAGAGAGAGAGAGAGAGAGAGAGAGAGAGAGAGAGAGAGAGAGAGAGAGAGGGACAGCAATCCATTACTATCTAGCCCCTGTCAGGCAATCACATATTCATGTGTATGCGCGATGTGTGCAGTCTTTCGCCGTCATCATATTAGTAGCTGACGTTATACTCCCGAGTGAATGTCTCTAGGGAAGATGCTGCTGCTGCTGCTGCTGCTACATCTTACGCAGTAGCAAGCTCCAGAAATAATGCCGTAGAACAGGGGATCTCTAAAGATACTGCTACCCAGTGAACCATTGGGGGAGCGTGGCTTGGTGACACATTTCCGTCGCGCACATGTAAATGCCACGTCATTACTGTAAGATGTGACAACACAGGGCGAGAGTGAATCGATGCAAAATAATGCGGGCCGAAAGTTAATGAAGGGAAGGTCAAATCGTAAGCGGAGTGGTCTACGTAAAGCACTTAGGTGTAATCGGAGTAGAATCGCCCTCGAAGTCGTTAGTCATGATTCATTAGTCATGACAGTGCATGTGAAAATGCAAATGTGATATGCAACCGGGAGAATTGGCGACCGGCGATAGATGGCCGAAATCCAGGGATTTTATAGTCAAGGGAATTTCGCCCCTTTCACATGGCCTCGTCGACAGACCACTCTTGGGGCAATTAACGCCAAGGTAGCAATTACGATAAATGGGGCAGTGGTCTCACATCTTGTCGAAAGCACGGACAGTTCTGACTGGGGAGTTGGCCGGGTTTTTATCACGTGACCTAGCCAGATTAGCAATGGAGAGAAAGAGAGGTAATATAAGAAAGAGGTGAGAGATAGAGAGTGGTCGTCAACAATCAATGTCAAGAAGTCAACCAATAAGACAGAGCTAGGTGATTAGGCCCGTGAGTGGGGGAGAGCACATGCCCACCCAAAGACGCCGCCCCGCATCTGAAACGGGATGCGGACGGGAGACGGGAGAGGTATTAGAAGGGGGTAGAATGTACGAGAGTCGGAGAGAAGGTGCACTTATGTACTGTTGCGTTTGTGTATGTCATAGCATATATACAGTGGAAGGAACCCCGATTTTACGTGCCCCGAATTAATGTGAATTTAGAGATGACGCGATGAGTCGTTGGACACCTCTTTTTTGCTCTTATACCCGATGTAGTGCAACCCCGCTTTTTTCGCGATTACATTTTATGGACCTCAACCATTGAGTTATAACGGGGCTACACTGTATATATATAATATATATATATACTTGTAATAAAGCTCCTAAGTAACATGCGACACCCTTCGCCAGTCAATTGTCTACGACATGATGACAAAGCACAAACCTTCCCTACATTGGTATGCAAGCGTAGCCGAATTGCATATCTAAGGTGTAAATATTGTGACTCACCAACATCTAAATGAACGACTACGATTATTTAACACGGCATTACGATTTTTATGGTTATTAGCATTTTAAACTTTCATTTTATTTTTTATCCAAATCAACTTTTTCAATCCAATCATGCTCGCCCATTTGCGAAGGGTACGACGACCATTGATTTGACCCACGGTAGCTAGATACAATAATACGACACAACGCACACCTGCTCTTGCATGCTTTAAAGTCATAGTCAACCCTTGACCACTACGAGCTATTTCAGCTACCCATGCAAAGTGCTCTCCACTCCCACAGCAATCGTATTAATTAACTTCAACTGTCTACACAGGATCCTGACAAGATACTGGGTCCGTTGCAGAAAACAAATATCGCAACATTGTTTACCATTAACTCCACTCGTAAACCGTTGACAGAAACATTTGTAAGGTTACGAGAACGAAAACGTCCGCAAATATCCTCATAACATTACAGCGCTCAAGACCCTCTCGTCAAGTTAATATAATTGAAATAACAACATTACACTACAATACAATTATAGTGATATTATATTTAATAATAATAAAATGTGTGTTTCTTAAAAACACTCAAAACATATATATCTACGCTAAAAAAACAAAACAAAACATTAAAAATGGCTATGCATTGTTCTCTTGTTCAAAGTTCCACGCCTGCCACGACTCTCGCGGGTCTCCGCGTTACAGGTGAAATTTGTCTTGTGTGGCAGAATATTCAATGACCACTCGTTTTTCATCAAAATAATTATCATTGGTTAGCCACCAAATACATAAATACTGTTATGTACAATAAATTATGCAATTGAATTTTGTGATTGAATTCTCATCCAATCAGCAGCCTGAACGTTAACATGAAGTTCCTGTTATCGTGAGTTTTCTAATAGCTGCGATGTGTTTCTGTCAACGCTAGTCTCGCAACATTAGCATTAGTCGTAAGTGTTATCGTAGCATTAACTTTAGCATTAACTTTACGATGTTTCTGACAACGGGCCCCTGAGCTATAGCCAATAGTTTCTATTTTACTTATTTTTGAAATAATTAGTGCTAGCGTAACATCACACACCTTCCTCGTATATGCGAAAAAACGAAACGGAAGCAGTTCGAAATTTGTTTCTGACGGTTAACGAACGTAATAATAAATAGTAACGACTCAGTACGACGCTCAGTGAGAGATGTTCTCTTATTTGTTGCCCGCAGGCGCGCCGCCGTCTTGAACCATGAGGTCCGGAGCTTCCCATAGGACCCACGAGCGCAGACGGAAGGACCAGTGGCATGACCCCCCGGGAGACGATCGCAGCTACATGAGCTCGAGTTCCCAGCACTCCTTCAACGATGAAGACTTCACCGGAAATTCTGGCAATTTCTGGCCCGAGCCAGTACTCCCCGCTCACTGGTCGGGGGACGAAGGATGCGGGCAGGGATTCGGGGAAGGCGGCCGCGGCGGAAGAAGATCGGGGAATCGGCAGCGAGGAGCGTCGAAAGGTGACCGAGGCGGCGCGTGGGGCGGCAGCAACCAGCCGCTGCAGCCGGCCTGGCAGCAGAACCAGAGTTGTCGCGAGGCAAACGTTAACAATAGAGGTGACGTGTGGAACGCGCCCCAGGTCGCGAACAACGGCGCGGCGAATCTCGGTGATCGGCCGTGCAACGACGAACGACGTCATCAACCCTGGCAGAATTGTCGAGGCACGCAGATCTATAACCGTGGCGGCGACGGTCGGTGGAGCGATCGGGGGGCGTGCGAGAACATCAGGAACAATCTGCTGGACAGGGTGGAGGATGTCTGTCAGGACGAATGGCGAAGCTCCGCCGAAATGCATCCGTGGAACCGAGGCAACTGGATGGGCGAACAGACGTGGGACGCTGCCCGAGGAAACACCGTGGACCTCGGATGGATCAAGCGGGAACCTTCGTGGGAGAACGCGCGAGACGACGCGGCGGCGTGTAACCGCGGCGACAGACGTCCGGCATGGCAACGCGGCGGCGGCGCGTCGAACGATCGGCGTGGTCGTCGCGACGATTTCCATCGCCGACCGCAACACGTACCCACGGACGTCTCGCCACTCAAGGGAGGAGGTAGAGTTGGAGGCGGAGGCGGAGGCGGAGGCGGAAGAGGAGTCAGAAGAGAAGGCAGAAGAGGAGGCAGAGGCGGGCGGGGATGCGACGACAGCGGCGGAGATGAGCAGCTGCCGTCGCTGCTGGATGGACTCACGTGGGTCGACGCAGGGGACGAGGTCGTCGCAGTGAGGTCCAGCGACCCCGGCACGACTTCGACCCGGGGGAGACGTCGCCACGTGCGAAGCCGCAGCAGGTCCGGAAGAAGGGCGACGAGTGAGGGCAAAGGGCGCCGCGGAAAGTCGACGGAAGCGGCGGAGTTAGTTGCCGGGCAACGGGCGTCGGCTGAGAGAGAACGGGGAAAGCGGTCGCCGTGTCTTGATGAGAGGAAGTCTGGTAGTCTCTTTCACGACAGTGTGGACAGGCAGAGGGAGAAGGTGGATGTAGAATTAGAGAGCAAAGAAAGGGGGAAGCGTCACGGTTTCTGACCCTGAGCAGCCGTCGCTACCCGGCGTCTCTCTCACACTCAACGCTACAGGCCCACGAGGGCACGAAAGGTCGCAGCCTGAAGTGCACAAAATTCGGCAGAACTGCCCCCCCACAGCACTCGATGCCGCACCTCACTGCTCTTCAACAGCCCGCAACTCTACATCCCACACAATACCACTAACGTGTCAGCAGATGAACACCCCCACCACAACTCACTACTGTAAGGTTCAACCAATCTCCAACACAACCACCACCGAGAGGACCAACACCACCACACCCACTCTTGACCTACAGTAGTGATGTTGGGGTTCTCATCTGCGCACACTTCGGTATCCTCGTATTTACAGTTTCGCTTTGAACAGTGAGGTCCGCATCATTGTGGGCATTCCCAATTTTGTTGCACTTCGCTCCCACCTTCCTCCCTCTGCTTCCTACTGTCGTGAGAGAACCGCCGTACACCCTTCTCATCAAGAAACCTTGCGCTTCCCCCCTTCTCCTCTGCCTCTACCATCCACCTCCCTCTCTGCTTCCCACACTGTCGCTGAAAGAAGACCTACCAGACTCCTCTCATCCCAAGACACGCGACCGCTCCCCTCCCTCAGCCGACGTGCCTTGCCCGCACTAAACTCCCCGCGCCTTCCACCTGACTCTTTCCGCCGGCCATTTGCCCTCCACTTTCTCCCTCCTTCCCGACCCTCGCTGCCGCGCTTCGCCCCCACGTCCGCGACCTCCTCCCCGTGTCGCAATCGTGCGCGCTCGCCTGACCCTCACCTCCCGCCCACTCTCGCGTCGCCCACTGAGTCCATCCACAACCGACGCAGCTGCTCATACTCCGCCGCTGTGTCGCATCCGCCCGCCTCCGCCTCCCTACCCCCTCCTCTTCTACTCCTCTTCTGCCTCCGCCGTCCGCCCGCTCCCAACCTACCCCTCTCCCCTTGCACGGCGCATACCTCCTGGTCACGCCCTTTGCCGTCGCAATTGAAATCGTCGCGCCGCACCAGCGATCGTTCGACCCCCCCGCGCCCCCCCCCCCCGTATTTGCCATCGCGCGCACCCGTCTGTCCCGCGTTACACCCCCCCCACCCCCCCCCTCTCCGCCGCGCCCCCCCCTCCCCCCACGCAAGCCTCCCGGCTGAATCCACTCGAGTCCCGGTTTTCGTGCATCGTCCCACGCTTTCGCCACCCCATTGCCCCTCGCCGTCTCCACCCGTTGGCCCATTTCCGGCGGCACTTCGCCATTCCGTCCTGAACTGACCCCACTCCCCCCCCACCTCGCCACACACCTCCGTTCCTACTGTTCTCCCAGCAACCCCCCCCCATCGCTCCCACGCACCCCCGTCCGCCCCGCGCCGCGTTCCATCACCTCGTGCCCCTCGACATCCTGCCACCCGCCCGACGATCCCGCTTCGTCCGTCACGCCGAACTCCACGCACACCTTCCGCCGCGCCCCACCTCTCGTCTCCGCCGACCCGCGCGCGTTCACGCTCCACCTCCATTTTACAACTCTGCCTCCACCAACCTGTCCTCCCCGCCCCCGGCTGCAGCGCCTGGTTGCTGCCGCCCACCGCCCCCCGCCTCGCACCTTTCCGACTCTCCCCCTCGATTCCGCCATTCCTTCTCGCCGCGCCCGCCCTCTCCCGACTCGCCCGCATCCTTCCCGTCCCACAGCGACGGGAGTCGCTGGCTCGTCAAAAATTGCCAGCAACTCCTCCCCCGTGCAACCTCTCTCCACTCGCGACCCAGAGTCGCTGGCAACCTTCCTCATTAGCTGCGACTCCGCCTCCGCGGTCCCATCCCACTGTCCTTCCGTCTGCGCTCCGTGGTCCCTATCCCGCCACCCCTCCCGCACCACAACCCCTCTCCGACCCACGCGCGCGCCTGCGCGGCAACAAATAATCAAGCAACCATCACTCTCCATCTGAGCGCCTCCTCCACCTCGCATTCGCTTTACTATTTATCATCCTACGTTCCGCTTAAACCGCCCACACACAAACCCCTTGCGAACTGCCTCGCTCTCTCGTTCTTTTTCCCCATACCGAGGCAAGTGTGTGATCTTAACCCACCACCCCAACACACATAGAATAGAGACCTATTCTCTCCTGTATACCTCAGGGCCCGTCTGTCAGAACCACTCCTCCACAAGTTCAACTCTCAAACCGTCCTACCAATGCCTCACCAGTCGTCAACACTTACCCGACTAACTCCCGCCTAACCCCCCACCACACCCACCCACAGACCACACATCGCAGCTCACTAACACCTCAACCGACTAACCCAGAACTCATCACAAGCTGCGATCTCGACTGACACCACTCCAAACCTCACAAAATTCAAATTCTACACATTCTATGTCACATCACAGCTAACTTTATGCATACTATAGGCTAACCACCCACTACACCAATACACTATCTTCTCACTCAAAAAACCGACGTCTCACTTAATCTAATTCTGCACCACCACACAAATCCTCACACGAACGCGACGCCCGAACGAGTCGTGGCAAGCGTGGAAAACCTTTATAACAATAGAACAAATGCCCATACCTCCACCTTTCGTCAAACTCGTACTCTCCATTAGCCGTAGCTAAACCCTTAATGATTTTTACGTGTTTTTACGAAAACACACATTTATCATCTCATTATCAAATATAAATATCACTACTACCATTTAATTCCCTTACGTAAATTGTCTCATTCCCCTTCAACCCTTATCACTTAAACGTTACGACAGCAAGGGTCTGAGCCCTCGTCACACTACACTCGCACCCCAATTTCGACGAATCTTTTCGCTCTCTCCTAACTCTACAATGGTTTCTGTCAACGTTAACGAGTGGATCGCCCAGCTTCACCCGTAAGACCTCACGCTCCCTGAGACTAACTCCCTCTCCTCTTCCCTCCGACCCACCCCGGCCAGCTCCACCTCCCTACTCACCCAATACCCACTCCTCACCACAACTTGCAACCCTTCAAACTCATACGATACTCCCCTCCGGTGACTCCGCCGCACCACACTCTCGCCCCCACCGCGCTCACTCCCTGAACATAGTCGTAGTGGCTCACAAGGCTCGACTAGCATCTTAAAGCACCAGAGCTCGTCCGTTCCGTACTCACTCGTCAATCCTACGCTCCCGTGGGTCAAACCAATGGTCCGTCGACCTCGCAAATCCGACTGACACTCATCGACAACCACTCTGACTCTCGCGCATACACACAACACCAAACTCACACACTCTCTCACACCTACACACCCACACACCCCACTAAAACTCGATCGTAATGCCCCCCCGTCGCTCTAAACTACCACTCGTAAGCCTTCATCTCACCATGTTTCAAGCCTACAACCTACATCTTAGCACACCCTCAAGAACTACCAATCGCTACGCGCTCGCATACAATCTACGCTAGTTCGCTCTGTCATCACTCGCGTCCCGAGACAACTCCACCTCGGCCAAACTGCTCGCATCCTCACCTCGCCTACGACCCGCGCTCTCCCTACTACCAATGACACCTCCACCTACTCCCTCATCACCCACTACCTCACTACCCCACACCCCACACACCCACACACACCATGTTGGTCCATCAAATGTAAATCGTCGAAAAACAGCCGCGGGTCCACAACCGGAGGTATACCAGACCCCCACCCCCCGCCCCGCCCCCCCCACCCCCTCCCACCCCCCCCCCCCCCGCCACCGCCGCACAAAAAAAGAGCTCCGCAACGCACTCACTCACTCATCATCCGAACACACCATTAAACTCGGCGCCACGATAACCCCCCCAACATCGGGTTCTTCACTGTCTTACCCATGCCACAGACCATACACAAACCAACAGTACATAATTGCACCCTTCTCTCCGACCTCGTACATTCTACCCCCCTCTCAACTACGCATCTACCGTCTCCCCGTTGCACCTCTCGTTCTCAGCCATGCGTGGCGCTCCGTTGGCTGTCTCATCGCTGGCTCGCCCCCCACTCACAGTCCTCAATCACCTACGCTTCCTCTATGGTTCGACCTCCTTAACATTCGATCGTTGAACCGACCCCCTCTCTATCCTCACCCTCTCTCCTTTCATATTCCTCTCTTCTCTCATCATTGCTAACGTGGCTAGTTTCACTGCAACCAAAACCCCGCAACGCCACCCAGTCCAGAACTCGTCCGCTGCCGCTCCGCCAAATCCTAGATCCCTGCTCCATTTACCGTCAATCTCGCTAACCTTGGAGCCCCCTTATTGCCACCCCACACATGTGAGTCGACGAGCATGGAAAAGGGGCGAAAACCTTCCCCTATGCCACCTATAAAGAAATGCCTGATTTACGGCCATCTATCGACCGTCCCCAATCTCCCGATTGCAAATCACATTGCAATATTCACATACCAACTGTCATGAAACTAAATGACACAAGTGACTAAAAGACCTCAGAGACAATCTACTACAATTACACAAGTGCTTATTACCCCAAGACACTCCCGCCATACGATTCTGAACTTTCCCTTCACATATACTCTCTCTGCCCCCGCATCCCATTTGCACGATCACATCTCGCCTTGCTTCACATACTTACCAGCTAATGACGTCAATTTAACATGTCCGCCCCGACGAAAAATCCGCTTTCACCCACGCCACGCATTCCAATGCTTCACTGCTTAAGCAGTATCTTATCAGAGATCCCTGCTTCTACGCATTATCTTCTGGAGCTAGCTACTGCAAATGTGCAGCACGCAGCAACAACACTCAGCATCTTTCCCCTAACTACGACCATTCCCTCGGGAGTATACGTCAAGCTACTTAATATGATGACGCGAAAACTGCACACATCGCCGCAACTACACACCTGAATCATCGTATCTGCTGCACCCCAGCGGGCTAGACATAGTATGGCCTGCGTCCCTCCTTCTCTCTCTCTCCTCTCTCCCTCTCTCTCTCTCTCCTCTCCCTCTCTCTCTCTCTTCTTTTCTCTCTCTCTTCTCTCTCTCTCCTCTCTCTTCCTCTCATCTCTTTCTCCTCCTAGCTCCTCTTCCCCCTCCCCTCCTCCCTCAATCTACACCTACCTATCTATTCTCGCTAATCTACTCTATTCTATACTCTACTCTATTCGCCATCGCGCTGCGCTCCTCTGCCGTTCTCCTCCTCGCTTCTCTCTTATTTTTATCTCGTCTTCTCCTACTCTCTCCCTCTCTGTCTCTCTCGCTCTCCTCTCCCTTCTTCCTCTCTCTGCTTCCTGCACCATCACACGACCCTCCCTCTCTGACCTCCCAGCTAAACTAGAGTCTTACTTGTCCATAGAAGTATGTGCAATTAGCATGTCACGAAGTATTTTCCGAAAATTACGTTAAAGCGCAATATTCTTCACCCCTACATTGCATTCTAGTTCCCCCACTACACTACCTGTCAGGGACTACCTACAAAGACTTAATGGCGCATGACGCAATGAACCGACGCCCAATACCAACACCTAATGACGCAAAATAACACACTCACATCCCGTAACACAGAACGACACACAACGAGCTCGATTGCAATCTTATACACCATCCACTAACCCCACGATAGCATGCAGCACACCACCCCCACCACACACCCATACACCACATACACCCCCCGTCACCACCACCTACACACAAAGCGCCACATATACGCACATACCCGCACATCATATATCAATATGGCTCGCCGCCTGCTCAACTCAACATGGATGTATACTCCCATCCCCAACATATACACGGTACCCTCAGAGAAACCGCTTGCCGAAAGGGTGTGATCCAAAGCGCTAAAGCGAGATCTTGCGCGCAGTTCCGCGCACAGCACACCCCACCGCGGAACGTCCTACACCAGTAGCCAGCGCTGGCTCACTGGATCCGTGCGCCGAAGCATAGGCCCGGCGCACGCACCATAAGTGTCCGCCGGCGCGCCCCCCCACGACCACTCGATAACTCCTTTCACCCCCCCGCCCGGAATACAAATGAAACACTCAGCTTCCTTGAGCTGCCTGCGCCCTCTGCAACGCCTTCAATGAAACCCATACCTCCTACTAAAGTCGTCAACACCTTCTACTTCCTCACAGCGTTCTCCTACTTTTATTACCAATCTCCGTATTCTATCTACCTGCGCCGTGCTCTACATCCGCTAACGACGCACACGCTGCACCCGCCTACACTAACCCTGGTTCTCTATAATACATATACTCGCTGAACACTAATACGCCTCATTCCATTTAAACCATACGAAACTTTCTACCTATATACAAACAATACGACGTCAACCCCCATCACATAAATTGAACCCACAGCCAACCCCCACCAACCCCCCTCGCCCACTCATTACTCTCCGCCCGATAGCCGAATCCTAACCGCTCAGCCCTATTTTCGCAACTTAATTTTACCAGGAAACAATAACCATGAGCTTGCTTGACTGCTGTCCTTTGCAACGCCTCAATCGAAAATATCAATAAAAGCTGCCAACACCGCTCCTACTTCCTACACCTCCGCCTATGTATAGAGTTATTAAAATTTATTTTATATGCGTCAGCGCTCATATAACGATCGCAGCGCATCGAAAGCATAAGCTTGTTTATAATATAAAATACATGCGCCACATCACTATCCCTCTATGACTGTCACCACTCACACAATGTTCCCACCTATACCACCACAACAATGACGACCGTAATAATCACATAATAACACATACAGGTACCCAGTATTTGATCCATTCCTACCGCTTGTGATCAGCCCGTCACTCGTTCTATATAGCCACCACCTAACCGTCTATTACCATTGCACCCTTCAACCTAAATCTTCGAGCATCGCTGATCTCAAGTTTCTTCTGCGGAAGTCTTCTCACAAGAAGCTCACAGCGCCCCCCCTGACCGCAGGGTACTACCA